CAATATTGAGAACATTTGGAGCATAGAACTGAGGACTTTTGGTGAAGTTCTGGTCTATAGATGCATTCGCTCTTGTAGTTTTTAAGGACTTGTTTGATTGGTGATCAAAATAACAAAAACATAAAAACAATGGATTCAATGAAAACGAGAGTTTGTATTTTTTGTTTTCTGTGACCTTTACAGATTTGGTAGTAGATTTGAAAATTGAATTTAAAGTTAAAAAATTGTTCAACTTATATTTTAAAGTAAACAAATGGTAGTTACCAACTATATATTTAGTTTAATCTAAAATATATAATGTCAATTAATTTAATAACGTTTTTATTATATATTTTGTACCATTAGAATGTTATATAATCTATAATATATTATATTTGAAATTTTTTTTTAATTTTAACAAAAATAAATTTTTTATAATATGAAATAATATATTTATCAAAAGATTTTATTATTTTTTAATATAATTCTTCATTTTAAAGTTTCAAATTCAAGATATGAAACAGGGAAAATATAATGATGTTGTTTCTAGAATTTCAATTGTGGTTTGGTTTTGGAAATAGCTTTCTTATTGAGAGAATTGAAATATTTTGAAGTTAAAAAACACAATTAGTATTAATAATTTTTTCGATCTATTAATTATTTTTGGTCTATTAGAATTTTTTTTTCTTAGTACAATATGTGGGGATGTGGAATCGAACTAACAACCTTTTGATTTGAGATATATGCGAATTACTACCAAGCTATACTCGCTTTGGCTTGGTGTGCTAAATTGTTGTTATAAAGCATAAATTTATTATGATCAATTATATTATATGATTTATTGATAATACCTATTTGATTTAATATCAAATTTGGCATTTTGAGGTATTCATGGTGTAAAGTTCAACAAGACAATTCTAAAGCCTCCTAAATCACCAAAATTTGGAGCTCAAACAAAAAAGTTATAATTAATAAATTGTAAGGAAAAACACGAGAAAGGATGACGTGGAGCTAAATCAACCAAGCGGGCGAATAAAATAGCAACACGAGTGAGTCGTATTATTAAAAAAAAGAAAAGAAATTGATAGAAAAGAAAATTAGAAGAAAGAAAGAAAAATAAAAGAACAAAAAAAAAGTTGCCATTATATATATATATTATTTTATTCAAGTAAATCTCAACTTTTAATCTATAGTGATTATATATATATGAGGTAATGAAGAGCTCGATAAGTATCTGCAGATCCTCTACTCTATCGACCACAAATATTGTTGAACCAACTTTTATGTATATTATTTTATTATTGAAGTAAATCTCAATCTTTGATCTACAATCATTTATGATCCAATGCCAAAATAGATTTTCATTTCAAATCAATTTCAAACTCTTTTCCCTCCTATATTTAAACATCATTCTTCTACAAAATTTAACAATAATTTTATCTCAATTTTATCTCCAATTCCTCCATCGTAATTAATCTCTCTGCTTCCATTTTTGTTCCAATTTATTGAGGGAGATTTCATTTTGAGAGATAATGTGCTTCCAATGTTATTTTTCTTAACCATTTCAGGGCTTTATTTCGTAAGAATTTTTCTTACATTTTTTTCTCTAATATGTAGTTTTTTCTTCCAAGACTAGATGGTAGGTTGAATTAAAAAAGAAAAGAGAGAGAAATTATCATTCTAGTTATCTTTATATAGGATGTATGTGAGCATGAGACAACAAAGTGAACTTGTACGTACATAATTATCCATCTTTATGTGTTTACGTTAAATGAATTTGTATGCTAGTATTATCTTTCTTTGTCTTTGTAGTTTTAACACAAAGAGTACATATCACAAAAAGAAATTGATGAGATTGAATGAGCAACTTTTTTGTTGGAAGATTTGTATAGACTTTACTTATGGATATTTTGTTTGTTTGATGTTGAACTAGTTGAATTACTTTTTTTCTTAATAGAATTGAAACACAAGAATCGTTGGATATTCTGATGAATGTAGTTTTTGTGGAGCGACAGATGGTCCCATCACAAAGTAGAAATGTTAGGTGTTGCTAAATATCGTTTTGAGTAAGTACTAGCATTTTTCTTAAAATACTATTTGGATTTGTGCAAAGTTATGAAAGGAGGAAAAATTATTGGTTATGTATAAAGAAGGTCTTATATATATTATGTTTAAATATATGTTATATGTTATCGTATTTCAGGTGTGGTTAGGATGTTTTGATAGAGGTCATGTTGAAATTTTGACTTTTTTTAGTTATGTTGGATGAATGAGTATTGAATCTTCATTTTCTATTGAGTTATTATAAAGAACAAGCTTATTGTTACACACGTGTTTTGGGTAAGTATTTGCCTTTTTTAAAAGACTATTGAGATTTGTGCATAGATTGAGAAACGAGGAAAGATTGCTGATTAGCTCACGTGTGCAATCAACATTTTTTTTATTAAATTATTACCCAAACAATGACGGGTATTGCCCACCATTAAAAACGAACATATATATAACGAAGGACATATAATGCTGAACATTTAATGACCGACATTGTAAGCTACAATAACACTAGAATAGATGTCAGGTCACAATTGACATCATAAGTGACCGTTATTGTAGGAAACAAGAATGGTCACCTATAATGGGTCTGTCATTGATATCCGTCGACATCAAACATTACATTAACATTCGAAATGATTTAGGTCGCGTATCCAACATCATTTCCCTTCAGTGACGAGCAGTACCCATCATTAAAAACTCGATCACCATCCATATATAGTCCAAAATTAGGTTCTATATATTCCAAAGGTCAAGAAAAATATTTTGAAATATTTTTAAAGTGAACATTAATTATGAAATTAGGTTCTATATATATTCCAAAATGAGAAAAAAAAAGCCTTTTAGGACTATTATCAAAATTGGAAGAATATTCTCCTACCTCTTTCTTATTTCAAAATTGTTAAATGAATCAACACCATGTATCTTAATTAATCAACTGATATCTGTTAGTATAAAATTTAATGGGAGTCCAAATAAGATATTTGCCAACATGAGCTTAGCTATACGATGATTAGCACCGATTTCTGACTAAGAGGTCATCAGTTTGAATCTTTCACCTTTACTGGTTGATATTTGAGAAATAAATATTAATTTTATCTTTACAACACGTGTATAAAAAGTACTACTAATGAAAATTTAAAATGTCAACATCAAATAAAATGTCTGAGTTCTCAATTATATAAGAATGGAGATAGAAATTAAATTTCGATTTTAATAGATATTTCTAGAAAAATAAAAAATATCAAGAAATTAATAAAAAATATTTAAATCAACAAATAAACATTTCACTATTGTTAAACACACTAAAGTATCTTATTATTAATATTTTATTCACGGTTATATCTTATCAATGTTTTCAATTTTTGAAATATTTTAAATGTGCAACATTTATGAAATTAGGTTGTATGTATTTTCCAAAAGGAAAGAAAAAACTATTTAATTATGATGGAAAGAATATTCCTTTTTTTAATATACCATGGGATAATTGGAGATATATGCCAATAACCGTTAAGTTATGCCCGCTTTGGCATCCTATTACCTCTTTCTTATTTTAAAATTGTTAATTGAATCAACATCATGTATCTTGTAATTTATTAATCAACTCGATATCCATGGCATAAAATTCACTATGAGACCAAATAAGATATTTGCCAACATGAACTTAGTGGTAATTAACATCTGTTTCTGATTAAGAGATCATTAAATTCTCCCCCTTACTTCTTGAGCCCTTTTAATTTAAACACTCTCACTGTTGACATACTTCCCCATCTCTCTTTTCTTTTTCTTTTCTTTTTTTTCTTTCAAAATATATATCTTCATTTTTCTCAAAATTCATTTTCTCTCCCCAAAAATTTTCCCTCTTAATCTTATATTTTTTCTCATTCACGAAGCGTCAGGGAGTGATAATATGATGAGTGCTTTTGAAAAAGGAGATTTAAGAATAATTAATTTTTGGTTAAAAAACATATTTGGTCCCTGTACTTTCATTAAAGTTACGATTTGATCCCTGAACTTTCAAAAGTAACCATTTAGTCCATGTACTTTGAAATTGGTTACGATTTAGTCCTTGCCATTAAAAATTAGGTTAAGATTTAACGGAATGCTGACGTGGCTGCCATTTAGGATTGATGTGTACAAATTAAAATCCATCTAGCGAGTTGGTTCAACATCGGTTCAGTTCGGTTCACATTTAAAACGGTTTAGGACTTTCAAAATAGAAAAATGAGACCTTTAATTTGAAACATCTCCAATCGCTTCCCACACTTCCCTTCCCCTCTGGACCTGTGGCAAGATTTCGCTTTCCGTTCCTCAATCTCCGGCGCCTTCCCGGACCTCGCTTGGGGAGGCGGCTCCATCAACACACGTCTCGACTGAACGGAGACGCCGCATGCTCACATCCTCAGGGCCGCCCTCCCTGCCTTTGACGGAGAAAACGTTCTCTCTCACCCACGATTTATGCCTCTCTCACGCACGAACATCTTTTTCGGTTCTTCAGAAGTCTTCGCTTGATAAGCTACGTGGTATGTACTGTGTTTTCTTATATGCACCTCCAGTTATCCTCAATGAGAAATTAAAATTACCTTTGGTTTGATTAGTGAGATTTTGACTTCATGGTAATGAATGAGAAATTTTTATTTTAGCAAAGAGAGATTTTGACTTCGCTCCTTTTTTCAAGTTCATCCCATCTCAATTTTTATTTTCTATTTTAGCGTGTAATGGTGCTCCTTGAAATCGTTGTTGCCCCTTCATTCCGCTGAATTGTTAACAAATTTTACGTGTAGCCATTTTCCTTACTAATTAACTATATCATTTAATATAAGTGCATAGCTATTTTTTTACAAAACTGCAGCATGAATACGTGTAGCTATTTTCCTTACTACAAAAGTTGGTGCTAAGCTATGAATTTCAAAAGTTCTATTTTGCACTTATTTTTTTACAACGAATATTTATATTTTATTCTATATGCAGAGATGACAACTTTTGTAGTAGAAGTGCATCACACTGGATATTTTATCCATGAGCCGTATATTAAATACATAAGTGGTAAGGTGGATCGCTATACAAATTTTGATCCAGATTACTGGTCTTTCTTTGAGGTAATTGGTGTTGTTGAACAGTTGGGGTATTATAGCTATCTAAAATTGTGGGGTAGGGATCCAACAAAAGAAGTKGGTGGTTATCGACTAATAGAATCTGATAAAGATGTCATGGAGTTAGCTAGTCTTTTAAGTGATGGAATGAAATTTGAGATATATGTAGAACATGAATGTGAGGATGAAGCGATACTCTTAGACAATGATAGTGATGCATTACCTTATATTAGTGGTTGTGAATCTGAATTTGAAGATGATGATGATTTGTTATCTAATATATATATTGATAAGGATGTGGAGGGTACTGCTTCAAAACCATCAGAAATCATAGGAATAGATGATAATGTTGAGAATAATGATGGCGGAAGTGATATTGACTCTAGTGAGCTACTCTCATTAAARGATTCGTCTGATTCTGAAGTTGATGTTAGAATAAAATATCCTGTTTATAGAGAAACAACRGGTGATGAGAAACCATAMTTTGAATTAGGCATGTCATTTAACTCATTGAGAGAGTTCAAGAATGTTGTGGATGATTATGCTGTTAAGGGAGGATGGCAAATACGATTTGTGAAAAATGATAAGACTAGAGTTAGAGCCAAATGTGTGGATGGCTGTAAATGGTTGGCTTATGTTGCCAAGGTACAAGGAGAAATGACTTATCAGTTGAAGACCTTTGTTGGTGAACACTCGTGTAGTAGGTCCTTCAGCAATCCAMGCCTAACATCTAGATGGCTAARTAGACAAATTGTAAATGATGTGAAGGARCAACCAGATATAAGATTGAGAGCCATCCAAGAGAAGGTACAACGTAAGTACATTTCACAAATTAAYAAAGTGAAAGCTTTTAGAGCAAAGAAATTGGCTTTAGATATAGTGCATGGATCACACAAAGAGCAAKATAGTCRATTATGGGAGTATTGTGCGGAGATACATAGATCCAATCCTGGTAGCAGTGCTCTTTTGAACTTGGATGTGCGACAGGAACAAGAAGAGGTTGATGGTCAACCAATTGGTAGAATTATAACAATCAAYACTTTTCAACGGTTGTATATATGTCTTGATGGATGTYGACGAGGTTTCATTGCTGGTTGTAGGCCATTTATTGGTTTAGATGGTTGTCATTTAAAAGGCCCTTATGGAGGAYAATTACTAGCAGCAATTGGAAGAGATCCTAATGACCAATACTTTCCCTTAGCCTTTGCAGTAGTTGAGGCAGAGACCAAAGACTCGTGGACATGGTTTTTGACTAAATTACTTGTGGATATTGGAAGTAAAAAAGTTACATTTATATYTGATCAACAAAAGGTATTCTCATTAATTTTTTTAATTACAATTATTTTTAGTTTCCTTACATATTCATGACATGTTTATTTTAATTATATTTTCAGGGTTTAGTGCYAACCTTYAGTGAATTAATTCCAGAATYAGAACATCGCTTTTGTGTGAGACACATCTATAGCAACATGAGAAAGAGGTTTCYTGGAATGCAGTTGAGAAAGCTTTTTTGGCGAGCAGCCAACGCAACTTATTATCAGCAATGGGAGAGGGAGATGCAAGAAATAAAAAAGGTAGATGAAGGTGCATACAAGTGGGTGTTGGCCTTACCTC